TTCCATTAGCCTTACCCATACCTTTATGGTTTGTATTGCGCCTGAACCCCTCAAGTCTCTCAGGCTGTCTAAGGCCTGCTGTGGGGAAACCGAGTCAAAGAGCTGAAGCAGGAGACAAGCGGCTACTGCAAAGGACAAGACATTTTCTGTTAATAGGATTTCCCTGTTATTACAGGAAATCTGGATTATTTTATGTCCCAGCATGGAATGCTTGCCGTATATATGTCGTCCCCTTCGGAGTGAGAAGGGCGGAATTTAAATGTTTCAAATAAGCAAATAAATAGATCTGAAAGAAACCCTAGGGACCATTCCTCTTTTGCCAAGCAGGAAGATACAAAACTCTCCCAATAGATGCCCATCCAATCTCTGTGAACCTGCATTAAAAATAATAATTATAATAATCTTTATTTATACCCCGCCACCATCTCCCTAAAGGGACTCGGGGCGGCTCACAGAAGCGCTCCAAGTGCCACATGCATACAAAAATATATAAGTATAAATGCAATGACATGTATAATCAACAGCGCATACAAATCTCATTATTTAGTTATTTATTTATTTACTTCATTTATATACCGCTTTTCTCAGCCCTTGGGTGACTCAAAGCGGTTAACAACAGCAAAATTCAATGCTCAACATCATAAAAACAGTTAAAAAACAATTAAAATAATAACATAATAAACAGTTAAACATCAATATAACATCTCATTAGCGTCTCAAATAAAATCAAGGTCCAATCTCATCATCCATTGTTCCGTATTCCTATGTTCATTACACTGCCTATTCAAATGCCTGCTCGAACAACCAGGTCTTCACTTTCCTCCGAAATGCCAATAGGGAGGGGGGCGATCTAATTTCTGTAGGAAGGGCGTTCCACAGCCGAGAGGTCACCACTGAGAAGGCCCTGTCTCTTGTCCCCGCCAGATGTACCTGTGATGTAGGCAGGACCGAGAGCAGGGCCTCCCCAGATGATCTTAATGTCCTAGCTGGTTCATAGGAGGAGATGCGTTCGGGCAGGTAAGTTGGGCCAGAACCGTTTAGGGCTTTATAGGCTAAAGCCAGCACTTTGAATTGTGCCCGGTAGCAGACTGGTAGCCAATGGAGCTGGCGCAACAGAGGAGTTGTATGCTCCCTGAGTGCCGCTCCTGTTAGTATCCTGGCTGCCGAGCGTTGGACCATTTGAAGCTTCTGAACAGTCTTCAAAGGCAACCCCACGTAGAGAGCATTACAGTTTATAAAATTATAAAACACTGAAAATTATAAAATTCCTAAAACACAGTGGAATCTTCTGGCCGGCTATCTGTCATAACAATCAATCAGTGTGGGCCAGTACTATCAATGATTCATCACATTGGCCATGGATTATTCAGGATCAAAGAAGAGCCATATTTTTAGACTCGCCTGGAAGGCCTGAAGAGAGGGGGCTAATCTAATTCCTTTAGGGAGGGTATCTCAGAGTCGGGGAGCCACCACAGAGAAGGCCCTCTCTCTCGTCCACCCCAATTGTGCTTGAGAAGGTGGTGGGACCAAAAGAAGGGCCTTCCCAGCAGATCTTAATGCTCACCCTGGTTCATAGGAGGAGATGAAGTCTCGAAGATAGGTTGGACCCAAAGCCTATTTACTTCTTATTATCTTTTCTTTCACACATGAGCTATATTTTTGTCGTGTCAGGAGCAACTTGAGAAACTGCAAGTCGCTTCTGGTGTGAGAGATAAAATCGCTAGATAAAATCTTCATCACCACCACTACAATATTCCTGAATGAATCATTTCTCCAGGAGAATATTGCAAATGATATTAAGTTAACACAATAATGCTCAATGTATATTCATTTTTAATTATTATTTTTTTGCTTACTCAGGCAGGATCGTCCAAGTCCTCCATAACAGCTGGAAATTTAAAAAAAAGTATTACACATATTTTTAAAAAAATGAACAAACTTATTGTACAGTTGTTTTGCTACATTTGTGGTTTTGATTTTTGCAGATTGGATTTCTCTCTAGGAATATCTCACTCCTCCAGTGTGATTTTGTGGTCAATTTCTGGAGGACTAAGACATTTCTAGACAAAAATTCTCACTAGGAATCTCTAGGTCCTCAAGTGCAATTCTATGGTTAACTTGCAGTGGAAAGTGATGTCTTTTAGACACCTAGAAAGTGCTAGGATTTTTTATTTATTTATTTTTTTAACTTTCACATGTGTCCTGTGCCCTTAATCTCAGGAAATGTTAAAACTCTTGAAAAGAGTCATCTTTCTTGTTCTGATTTCACTGTCCTACTGTTATGGAATCTGCTTGGTTTAAGAATCTTGGATTCTCTGGAGCAGGCATGGGTTAGGAATTGTGGGAGCTGTAGCCCAAAACACCTGGAGGAGGGCCAATGTTTGTCCATGCCTGCTGGCTTAGATGCATCCAATTACCAAGTGTTTGGGAGGGAGAGCAATTCCTTTACTTGCAGTTTTGCCCTTTCATGGGGATCCTGTGCTCCCAACCCCAGCGAATGTGGAGGGCTGACTGCATATATTTGGGTCATATGTACATATAGCTGATGCTGCTATAGAAGAGGCCGGAACATCTGCAGCAAGCTCTCCTGCTCCTGCCTTTGGGGTTCCTCGTGAGGAGGTCTGCAACCTCAGGTCATTTCCAGCTGGTCAGACTAACCAACTCCAGGAGGGTGCAGCTATAAAAACTGAGGCAGGGCAAGAGGAGTCTAGTTACTATATCATTCTAACTCAGGAGTCTGTATAACAACTATGGGAAAACTATGAAGTTAGGAAATTATGATGCGACACTTTGTAGGCTTTTAATCTATATTACTGTTTTAATTGTTTGTTTTATAATTTTATATGGTATGTTTATTGTTAGGTGCATGATTTGGCATTTAATTTTCTCTGTAGTTTGTAAGCCGCCTTGAGTCCCCTTCGAGATGGGAAGGGCGGGGTATAAATATAGTAAATAATAAATAAATAAATAAATAAATAAATAAATAAAATAAGACAAGATAGGCATACAGGAACTCACTGTATTAAGGTCTTCCGATTATATTCCAGGCAGCTCCTAAGTTCGTTGAGGATCACACAGCATTGGGCAAAGTCTGGCGCCTCTCCATCAGGAATAGGGTGATGGTGCACAATGAACCCATGGTCTTGATATGTTGCCAAAAGGTGTGGGACTCGGCATTTGGAGAGCTCTCCTCTGGTACAGAGTACAAATATGTCCTGTATCCCATAGGTCTTCAATTCCTCTGCATATATATATATATATATATCGAGAGAGAGAGAGAGAGAGAGAGAGAGCATTAGAACACCAATGAGTTTTTCAAGCCATATGAAATCTATTTTGGAAAACACTTGGTTGTGGAGTAAGCAATCCGTTTTTTTTACCCCATCCTCTATCAGTTAGAGCTAGTTTAATTTGAAATGGAAACTCCGTGCCAGTATTTGATCTTTTGGCAGGGAAAATGTTAGCGTCTGAGAGCAGGATGCAAGGAAAAAAAGGGTTTGGATCAACTCATTTTGGTGAACAATATCTACATATTAATGAGGCAGCAAATTCTTAAGGTGGATTATTTGCAAAACAAGAAGCCATTAGTGACAGCAGCAAGAGAGAGAAGGGGAAATCTTTTGACAAACTTTTAAATGTCAATTGTTGGATTTATGAATTAGAGGAATGTCATTAAAGTAGAGGTGTGGTTATATAGTATTATCAAAAGGGAGCAGGATAATACGGGATAAAAACTGCCCAACAAGGTTTTTGAGATTTATAGAATAGTTTTGGTAGTTGTGTGTTCAGTATGTGTATGTTAATGTAGGTATGTGCCAAGTTAGTTTTAGGTTTCATTTTGTAGTATGTCAGTGATTAGTCAGATAACTGCTTAGTTATAGTAATATGTATCATGAAAATCTGTTTTTTTGCATTTTCTTTGGGTTTTTTTTTAATTATTTTGTCCTTATTCCTGAGTGAAAGTGATAGGAAGCAAGATAGAAGAGAAAATGGTTCTGGTAAGATACTGTTTGCAGCAAAACATGAACATAATCTAAATAGCACACATTTTTTTCCTTCTTTGAAGCATATTCCCCTTTCATACATTTGTGGATATTTAATTGCTCTCTCAATCATTAGTTTTAAACGCATGCAATTAACTAAGACGCCCATGGGAACCTGTCCATGCATTGTGGGTGCATCAACACTGCACAATTAGAGTACTTTGACACCACTTCAGTTCCTTTGAGCCCATCCTATATTACCCTATATTACCCTATTACTTTTGTTTTGCTTTTGAGATATTTCTCCAAGGGCCCCCAGACATTAAACACAAAAAAGTCCTTCTTTGTGAAGCCCCAATTATGGAAATATCTCTCCAGGGCTCCACATCTAGTGACCATTTATGTGAAAGGCTGGGGTTTTTATTCACTCATGGCTTCAGCTGGCTTCCTTTAACACTTTATACTTTTTTTATATTTCTCAAAGCTGGTTCCTCACTTTGTTCTGAGGACATGGGTCTGCAGAGACTCTTCCATCTTTCTTTTTTGAGTTTATCTAGCTTCTCAAAAATCTGGCGAAATTTCCTCTGATTTGCTCACAGTCCCTATCTAAATGAAAGAATAACCTTTTTTACTTGAGAGAACATTGCTCTTAAGAATCTCAAGCTCCTCTATGGCATTATCGTCTACAGTTTTACATGTTCACATGGACTCACGTCACTTTGCTGATCACTGTAACTCAGTCCCATCTTGTCATCCAAAATCTGTTTGAAGGCATGATCTGGTTTCTGGTTCCAATCTCAAGTGTCATTTGCAATGATATTGCAGTTTATAGTTTTGGATTCTTTTTTGGCAGAACTCCATTAATTAAGCTGTCTCCCCAAAACAATAATAATAATAATAATAATAATAATAATAATAATAATAATAATAATTTATTTATAACCCGCTACCATCTCCCGAAGGACTCGGTGCGGCGTACAAGAGGCCGAGACCCAATACATCAATAAGCAACAACAACAATACATCAATAAATAACTCAAGCAATAGACATTGACAACGACAACACGACGCAAAAGACCTGGAAGGCTTCATTGGCGGCTTCTTTACCACAGTTGTGTTTGGATTCATTGCTGCCTACCTTTTCATAGAATCATAGAGTTGGAAGGGACCTCATGGGCCATCCAGTCCAACCCCCTGCCAAGAAGCAGGAATATTGCATTCAAAGCACCCCTGACAGATGGCCATCCAGCCTCTGTTGAAAAGCTTCCAAAGAAGGAACCTCCACCACACTCCGGGACAGAGAGTTCCACTGCTGAACGGCTATCACAGTCAGGAAGACCTTCCTGATGTTCAGATGGAATCTCCTTTCTTGTAGTTTTGTTCCCTTGCGTCCTAGTCTCCAAGGCAGCAGAAAACAAGCTTGCTCCCTCCTCCCTGTGACTTCCTCTCACATATTTATACATGGCTATCATATCTCCTCTCAGCCTTCTCTTCTTCAGGCTAAACATGCCCAGCTCTTCAAGCCGCTCCTCATAAGGCTTGTTCTCCAGACCCTTGATCATTTGAGTCGCCCTCCTCTGGACACATTCCAGCTTGTCAATATCTCTCTTCAATTGTGGTGCCCAGAATTGGACACAACATTCCAGGTGTGGTCTAACCAAGGCAGAATAGAGTATCAGTATTTTGTATGCCCCGTGGAACACTCTACCGACTGTTAGTAATTGTGGGAGTTGAAGTTCAAAACACCTGGAGGGCCCAGGTTTGCCCATGCCTGAATACCATAGAATTAATGCAGTTGGACACCACTTTGTTATGGCTTGGTGCTATGGAATAATAGGATTTGTAGTTTGCTGAGGTACACAGACTCTTTGACATTTACTACACTCTTTGACAGTCATGACAACAAAGTGGCGTCAAACTGTGTTCATGATACAGTCTATATGCACCCTCCTTCACTGAAGGGTGATAGAAAGAACCTATTGGACTGACGTACAATTACCTATGTCCTTCTGAAGACTTCTTCTTATATTTTTGAATCGACAACCTAAAACGATGCAGGGCAGATGCACAAAAGAGGAATAATTAGGTATTAATCTTGGCATAAACATCAAGGCAAATGTTCTTTTAGCAAATATTAACATAAAGGTGAATAAATGCCTCTGATTTTGCCATCAACCAGTCTGTCTTATCTGACTCTTTGGAAAGATTTTAGCGGAGTGGAAATCACATAACATTTCAACAACAACAACATTTTATTTATATTCTGCCCTATCTCCCCAAGGGGACTCCCCAAGGCTGATCACAGTACAGAGCAAACATTCCCTTCCATTTTGGATAGACAGGAAAGAGACAGACAGAACAGAAAGGAGGTATGTTTTGTTGATGTCCAGATTTTTTGGCACCTTGGAGGTTGTGCTCAAATCCAGCCATGGGTATGCTGCAGCTCCATCCTCTATGACGAAGAGCCACCAGGACTTCCTTTTGGTCGCTGGACATTTTCTGATCTTTTTCTTTATGGTGTCGTAAAATACCTCCCCTGCTTGTTTTAGTGGTACCTAATCACTCTATTAACAACTCAAGCTGTTTTCAAACTGTTTAGGTAAACAGCAAGCTGGGCTAACAGTCAGGAGCTCACGCCAACCTGGGGCTTCAAACTGGCAACCTTTTGGTTGGTAGATCTTATCATTGCTGGTGATTTACCAGCTGTGCTAAAGCCCAGCCCAATTAATTAATTCTACCATTGATGGGACTCAATGTAGCTAACCTTCTGTCATTGTGAGATTTGATTATTCATGGATTTTATTAATATGATATCTCCAGTGTGACTATGATACAAAACATAAAAGTGTTTTAATTTGCTAGTAGGGGAATAAAATGTGACATTGAGTGTATCTGTTTTGAAATTTAGATTTACTTGCATTAAAATAATAAATACACAATTACCTGGTAGCGCACATATTCCCAGAAATTGAGAATAAACTGGGGAGAGGGCAAGCCTAAAAAGACAAAGGATTTGGAAAAAGTTAAGAAAGGAAGGGAACATTTACTACTGCAGTCAAATGATCTACACCAGGCATAGGCAAACTTCAGCTCTCTGCGTGTTTTGGACTTCAACTCCCACCGGTTGTTAGGAATTGTGGAAGTTGAAGCCAAAGTTTGCTCATGCCTGATCTACACTGTAGGATTAATCCAGTTTGACACCACTATAATTGCCATGTTGTAGTTCTGCACATTCTTTCACCTTCTCTGTCAAAGAGTGTTGGTGCATCACCAAACTACAAATCCCAGGGTGTCAGAGCATTGAGTCATCACGGCAGTCTCAAACCAGATTCATTCCACAATATAGATGCAACCCCAGTGATAGCAACTGATCCCAAATCTTGTTTTCTGCTTACCAAGATACTTGGAAAGGAGTATCTTCCTTCTCCGAGGGTTCTTCGTCGGACGAGTCAAACTCATTGGTCTCCATTGCAGAAGTCTTAAGTAAAAAAACAAACAAACCCACTTGCTTTTCCAT